TTAGTGGCATCCATATCGCCTTGTTCGAATGACAGGTGGGTATTTTGAGTAAATCCAAGTCATCTTGGCTTCTGGTGTCCATACCCTTCCTTGAATCTCTCATAGATTTTATTTGCCAAGCCGAGGGTCTTCTGAGTAAATCCACAGCATCATCGCTTGTGGTGTCTATGCCCTCCCCTAAATCTCTCACTGATTTTATTTGCTAAACTATTGCCTCTTGGAGAGACAAGCAGAAGAAAGAGGGTCTTGGCTGGACACTCTTGAACCTGAGACATCAAGCTCTTCGTGGCTTCTCCCAAGTCTCTGATTTCGTCATTTCCCTTTTAGTGGCAGAATGGATGGCAAGCTTTGCAGCTCTTTATCAAGTTGCTTCTGAAAAAAGGATATTCTCGGTAAAATCCGATTCCTTACAATTGGTTAGAGCCTTCATCTTAGGTTATTGTGTTTACAAACTTCATGGTATTCTTGAGATCATCTCACCTTTTACCAGAAGATTTGTTTTCATTTCTTTCAAGTTTATCCCAAAATTATCTAATGTATGTGATGCTTCTAAAGCAAAAAACATTATGTATGCGGTTCACACACTTGCAGTTTGATTTAATGAAGTTATTGGTTACACACAAAAAAATACGATTCAATAATATTATGTCATTTAGATACGTCGGCAACTGGAAAACTAATATAACGTGGTAGCCAAAATTAAATGATATGAACTACATTTTTGGTAAGATACGATTCCAATAATATTGTGTCATTAAATTGTGTAGAGTTATAAAGAGATTTTGGTATAATTTCTGTAATACGCATTTTTCACTATAAACCTGATTTACATATTCGATGATTTAATCGGTGAATATAGAAATTTAATGCTTTATTGTAATCGTGTAATGTAATTATTTTCTGAAGATCCATTTATTTAACTTTAAGTTCCGAGTTATTCCAGTTACGGGTCAAATGATTCGTGTAATGATCCACATGATGCATTTGTAATGGTCATTTATATCCTTAAATATTTTTTTAGTCTTTTTGTAATAGCATTTGATGTAAATAATTTACAACATAAATATTATTTTTTAAGTGTGCTTACTTAAATAATATAATAGAGATACAATGTTTTTTTCTGACTTGAAGTCAAGAATATGAAGTCATTGGACAGAATTTTGTTAATTATTATGTCATTAAAAATTTTATCATAAAATTGAGCAAATCATAAATTGCTGAATCTATAAGAATTGTATAAAAAACTTGTTTTGCTCTGAATTCATTGAGTTTATAAAATTGTGAAAAATGACAAGCGATCACAATTTCATGTTTAAAAGTTGTGTATAAGTCAATATTTTCTTGTTTCTAATCTTTTAGATCTCAGAATTAGTTCTGTTGAAAAGTTTCAAAAATATTTAGAATAACAATATCTTTCTCATAATCCTAATACACATGTTTACCATCAAAGATTATATATTAAGTTGATTGAAGACAAACTTTTGCTTGCACCTTTGTAGCATATATGTTATAGTTTAAAAGTATAATTAAATTAAGGTAAATGAGATAACTCAATCAACAACAAAAAAGGTGGGCAATTTCGTGGAATAACCCATTTCTTGCAATGGTTCTTCTCACCTGGGACATTTCTTTTCATTCCTTTCTATCATTTATTTATTTGATTTCTCCCTTTGTAAGGTTTTTATTCTGTTTGATTTCTCCCTTTGTAAGGTTTTATTCTGTTTTTGATATTGTTTTTATTTTGTTTTGATACTCTTTCATTTATACTCTATTTTTGGGTTTTTAATTGATGAACAAACACAATGTTAATTTTTTTTAATTAGTGCAACAATTCTATGCAATATTTATATTTATTGGATGATATGTGACTAAATATATTATAATTTTACATTATGATTATTTAAATTGTTATAATTTATATATCAAATAATATTTTTTGGAAAATATATTTTTCAATCTCTAGGTTTTTTTTAAACAATTATATTCTAAATGTTGGGATATCAATTCAAGTCCCACATCAGAAGTTTAGACAAAGAATATCTAGAATATAACTCATGTCCAAAAGTAATTAGTATGAGACTTTTTTGGATCCAAAAAAAAATCTGTGCGATGTGGGAGAGAGAACCCTCAAGATGACCTTACGATTGGGGTGTTGGTGTCTTCTATCGAAAGTCTTCTTGGGAGTGCGTTAAGTTAGGAGGTGGGTTTCGTTGGTGGGAACGGCAGTACAAGAAGGGTGCTAAGTTTCACATAAGGTTGGAGAAGGCCACAAGTTTGTGTGGTTCTTGGCTTGAGTGGAGGATTTTTAGGATATCAATCCAAGTCCTACGTCGAAAGTTTAGACCAATATGGTCTAGTATATAAACAAAATGTTCAACAGTTTAGTATGAGGTCTTTTGGGAAGGAGCCTAAAAACAAATCCGTGCGAGTTTTGCCACTTGGACCCAAAACGATCAATATCATACTAATAGGGAGTTAGACATGGGCTTGAAAAGCCAACAATTGGCATCAAAGTGAGGTTCTGGAAAAGGTGGACCTGGACAAGTAGGTATGGGTTGTGTGTTTGGTGTGAGAGAGAGAGCCCTTAAGGTGACCTTGCGATTAGGGGTGTTGGTGCCGGATTCCGTAGGTGAGTACGATGGTACAAGATGGGTGACAGGTTTTGCAGGAGGTTAGGATGCCACACGTTTGTGTGGTCCTTGGTTTAAGGGAATGATTGTTGGAATATCAATCCAAGTCCCACATCGGAAGCTTAGACAAAGAGTGTCTAATATATAAGTCATATCCAACAGTTTAGTATGAGGCCTTTTGGGAAGGAGTCCAAAACCAAATATGTGTGGGTTTTACCACTTGGGCCCAAAGCGAACAATATCATACTAATAAATAGTTGGGCATGGGCTTAAAAAGCCCAACAATTGGTATCAGAGCGAGGTTCTAAAAAAGGTGGACCTCGACAAGTGGATGTGGGCTGTGTGTTCAGTGTGGAAGAGAGTGTCCTCAAGGTGACTTTGCGATTAGGGATGCTGGGTGCCAGATTCTGTAGGTGAGTACGATGGTACAAGATGGGTGCCAGGTTTCGCAGGAGGTTAAGATGCCACAGGTTTGTGTGGTATTTGGTTTTAGGGAAAGATTGTTGGAATATCAATCCAAGTCCCACATCAGAAGCTTAGACAAAGAATGTCTAATATATAAGTCTTCATAACGGACTAACGGTTGTGCAAGGGTTAGGAGTAGAGTTTTGTTGGTGCCTACGGCGGTACAAGATGAGTACCAAATTTCGCAGGAGATTGGGAGGCCACAGAATTTCGTGGTTCTTAGCTTGACAAGGGGATTATTGGGATATCAATCCAAGTCCCACATTGGAAGTTTAGACAAAGAATATTTAGTATATAAATCATGTCCAAAAGTAATTAGTATGAGATCTTTTGGAAAAGAACCCAATAATAAATCCGTGTGGACTTCACCATTTGAATTAAAAAACGGACAATATCATATTAATAAGGAACTAGGCTTGTACCCATGCATATGCACAGATTTTATTTCATATAATATTTTTAATATTTTTAAATTTTTGTTTGTGTTGATATACATGTAGTTAATTATAAAAATATGATAATGTTCTTAATTTTTTTTATATTATGTTTTTAAAAAACAAAATCTTTATCAAACAAATAGTTTTTTTTTATTTAGGATTGGAAGTAGGGTAAGTTAAAAAATTGTTCTACCATTCTAGAAATCATAAACATGATATGAGTAACAAAGACGTAGATGAAATCCATATTTTTGGGTTGAATTGCTTGAAAACATTTAATTACCTCCGATTTTTAATGTTCTCATGTTTATGGCATGCACAATTGCCATGATTTTGCAAGAACCAACCCATGCTTCATGTTTCACAATGAAATGTAGATATAATAATATCATAGTTGACTCATAAAAACTGCAAAATTTTTAAATAAAAAGAATGCTACATCTTTACATTTTTTCATAGAAAAAGCTTCGAAATAGTGTTCATGATGAGGATAAGCCGGAAGAAAAAATATCAAATTAGTACAAAAATATATTAAAAAATCTTAGATGAATATCAAGGAATTAGAAATGTTGTTTATTTATTTTTATTATGAATGTGGAAAGTAATGTAACTTAATAGCTATGAACATAAATACATATTAAAAAATTATTGAAAACAAAATTTATGTTAAAATTAGTGATATTAATTAGTTTTTGATAATTTTTTAATTTATGATTTAATAATTATGTGAAAGGATATGTGTTAGCTTTTTAATTTCTGATGTGGTAAATTATAGAGAGATCATCTATTTTCATATATATGATTGGACATAGGTTTACAGAGAACATATCACAATTTAATTTTAATCAGGTCCCTAATTAGTAGTAATGGATTTGTTTTACCGTTTGTGTGTCCATTGGCGTGTTAACATGTACAGTTGTAGTTTAGCCGAAAAAACAGAAAACCAATTATTATTAATAATTGATGGCTACATTATCTGTCATGTCAACGATCAATTAAGATATGAGAAATTGTGAAGGCAAGCACGATCTGGTCGACACCTTATCAATAAATGTCAAAATGTCATCTCCTTTATCTACTATCCTCTTTTTTATTTCCATACTTTTTGCCTGTTAATTTTTTTTTTATCATACCTGTTGCTTGTTAATTGACGTTTTAATTCATTGCCAAGCAACAAAAAGAAAATTATTCTATTTTTAAGTTAAAAACAAAAAACGGTTTTGCCTATCATGAGCTAACTAGTAATGACTTGGCGACCAAATTTAGACAGAATTTAATCAACAAATTGTCAGAAAACAAAAGACAACTCAATTCTCCTGTAAAGTTGATGACTAAAAAATATTGAAGACTAATTTTTTTATTTTCAATAACAATTGAATTAAAGAAAGGACCTGAGTTTTAGATTCGGATTCGAATTCGCTGGTCTGGCCTAACTATTTGCTTTTAGTTGGCAAAGGATTCACATGGCTTCTCTTCACATCAACCAATATCATCACACGTGATAAGAACCTTTTTTCTCTTCTTCTTCTTTTTTGTCCTTTTCCTTGTTTTCTTTCCCAGAAGAGCGAAGAAGAAGAAAGCTCATCAAGACCGATCTCGTAGACTTTTTGTCTCTGTCCAAAATCCAGGAAGAAACTTTTCTAGCTTAAAAAAGGGTCAATCTTGTAGATTCTTTAGCTTCTTGACAATGGATTCTTTAAAGAACAGAACATTGCTAAAGGTCATTGTCCTCGGAGATAGCGGGTAATAATTTTCTCTGATTTTTTTTTTCCCAAGATTTACGAGACCTTCTCTCTTGAGTCTTGAATATATATAATGATACAAATCAAGGTTTTTTTTTCTTTTCAAAAATTTTTAAGAAAATTTATTGCCTCTGTTTTTTGTTTTTTGGTCCATTTCTGAATCTCTTTATTTATGCAGGGTAGGCAAAACTTCATTGATGAACCAGTATCCTTTTAAAATTAAACTTCACCTCTAGCTTATAAATTAGTTAAATGTTTCGGTATGTTTTATGTTAGATCTATGTTTTTTGCGGTAAACTTAACTTGTGACCTAAGATACGTATACAAGAAATTTAACCGGCAATACAAGGCCACGATAGGAGCAGATTTCGTCACCAAGGAGCTTCATATTGAAGAAAAACCTGTCACTTTACAAGTAAATATATAAATCATCTCTTGTTTCACGAGTCAAACCTTTATAAATGCAGAAAAAAACTTATGAAACTCTCTTTTTTAGATATGGGATACTGCAGGACAAGAGAGATTTCACAGTCTAGGATCAGCATTCTATAGAGGTGCTGATTGTTGTGTTCTTGTATACGACGTGAACAACCTCAAATCTTTCGAAACTCTCAATACTTGGCACACGGAGTTCCTCAAACAGGTTTTACCCTAATCATTGATTTTCTTGCGTGTGAAGTTATAGTTACAATGCATTTATTTTTGTAAGTCTTATCGATTTGATTCCATTTACTGATATCTTCCAGGCAAATCCTATGGAACCTGAGACATTTCCATTTGTTCTGATTGGGAACAAAACCGATGTAGATGGCGGAAACAGCCGAGTTGTAAGACAATATTCTTTATGAATCACCTCTTTAGAACCATCACAAAACCCTAATTAATTTCCGTAATTTCACTTCTGCAGGTTGCGAATAAGAGAGCCATCGAATGGTGTGGCTCAAAGGGGAACATACCGTACCATGAAACCTCTGCAAAGGAAGATATCAATGTCGACGAAGCTTTTTTGGGCGTTGCACACAAAGCTCTCACCAATGAACATAAACAAGACAACATGTGAGTTTCTAGACTATTTCAATTTTGATTCATAGATAGATTTAACTCTTTCCAAATTTTCTCTAGGTTTCATGTTTGATCCTTTTGTCTTCAAAATTGCAGATACTTCAGAGACATGTCTATATCTGTCAGAGATATTCTTGAGGATCAGCCAAGAGGTTGTGCTTGCTGATTCATATTTAACAAATCTGATCAATAATATCGATTCCCTGATCTTTTGTTTCAATCTTTGTTTTTATTTATTTTTACTATATATTTTTTATATCAATTAAAGAGATTTATTAACGAAAAAACTGATGATATATGCAATAATCTGTGTGTTTTGATTCATGTATAGCATTTTGTTTAATTATATGTTTTTTTTGCTAAACATGTATACCATGTATAGCATTTCATTTAATTTATGCTAATTTTTTGTTGATACATTCATACAAATCCACATCACTCAACGTTTATGTTTGGCATGTAAATGTAATGTCCCTCTTCATAGCTACTTCTCCCTGATTATTATATATAGTCTGTATATATATTTTGAAGAAAAACAAAAACAGATTTTCTCTTTTTGGTTGTATATCATTTTTAAATATCTAACTAAATTCAAACAAAATCACAGGTAAGCAAAATTATTTTCCATTTAGAATAAATAATCAGTACAGGGTTGACTAACAGATAGTGGCTTGTCACCACCAAGCTGTCCTGAGTACCCACCCACCTAAATACAGGTTTAGAATATCGGGATACACAAATTTTAAAGATAATCAGTACGTAATTAACATTTGTTTAGCTGATTAATAATTTTACAAATCAAGCTCTCAACAATCAGCTCAAGTGTTCTCTAATCCGGTTCAACTATAAAACTTATTGAATTTGTAGAAAATAAATTTCATAGCAATGCGTCTGAAGCCTGGGATACCACGAAAAATGTCTCCCCTGTAATAGTAAAGTTTTAAGAATGCTGTTGGGCAAAACCGCAAAACAAATTCCTCAATTGGTTGATACTAGAAACTATATGAATATATGAATACCTCAGCGATTAACTCTACATCTTAAACATAAAAGCACTCGTTAGTAACCAACACTCCAATTTCTGAAGATATAACTCTAGTCAACGACTTTTAAAACCTTTCACTAGACTTTACCCCGTGCATCCGCACGGTAAATTTTTTAATCAAAATTTATAATATTATTTATGTTTTCTTTATAGATATAATTTTTTAATAAATAACAAAGATTTATTTTTGTGTTTAGATATAATTTATTTTTTAATTTTTTCTACTATATTATGACCATGATCATAAAAACATAATTTTAACCCGATCATTCTATTAATCGCAAAAGACCGTTATTATAAAAATATATTTTTAACTCACTCATTCTATTAGTCAAAAAAAACTGTAGTTACTAAACCATAATTCTAACCCGTCCGTCAAATTACTATATAATATAATTATTTACTAATTTTGAAATAATATTTATCTTAATATCTTGCATGTTTTGAATATAAAACTGCAATTAAAAAAAAAAATCTAATCCAACCCATCAAATTACCATATAATATTAATATTTATTAGTTTTTAATACGTGAAATTTTATTCTGATTGAATATGATTAAAAAATACAATAATTTATTCTTTTTATCATATTTGTTTTTCTAAAAAGATTATTTAAATTTTCAAATGTTAAATTAAATCTGACCTATAATTAAAGAAGTATAAAATAATTTAAATTAATATCATTTTTAGAATTAAATTTAATTACAAAAATAGTTTGAATATTAAATTAAATATGACCTATATTTAAGGAAATCTTTAGTTATCTAAATTCATATCCAATTTTCGGATATTTTTTTAAATAAAAAAGAAAATATGTTTTTAAATAATATTACAATAATTTAGGATAATTTTAAAATTGTTTCTCAAAATATTTTTTTAAAAAAATTGGGAGTGTTTGGAAGCAAGTACTAAATGTGCTTGTGTTTTAATATAATAGATATTTCAATTCATTGTTGTCAAAAGTGATATTAAATCTATTAAGGGAAAAACTCTTTTCTTATTGTTTTCATAAGCAGTGTATATATACATTACATAACTAATGTATCAGAAACCCTAATGGGCCATGAGACATTAACCTGATGGTTAATGGGCCGGTTACTAGAAGTCCATTTGTTTATAACACTCCCCCTTGGACAAGGTAACCGTGTCTGTCACAAAACCGGGATCTTTATAATGCGCTGGGGAACGTTGCCTCATTAAAACCTTACCAGAAAAACCCAGTGGGAAAAACCATGGTGAAGGAAAAAGAGTACAACACGCATTACTCCCCCTGGTTTAGGCATCACTGTAGATCTCTAAGTCTACGCATTCCTATCTGATGAATGAGCTTCCGGAGTGTAGAAGTCGGTAATGATTTAGTGAATAGATCTGCTGAATTTTCGCTTGATCGGACTTGCTGAACCTTGACCTGACCATCCTTCTGTAGCTCATGAGTGAAGAAGAATTTGGGCAGAATATGCTTCGTCCGGTCACCTTTAATGTAGCCGTCCTTGAGTTGAGCGATACAAGCTGCATTGTCTTCATACATCACCGTAGGCTCCTTATCTTCGTCCATACCACAATCTGATCGGATATGCTGAGTCATGGACCGCAACCAAACACACTCTCTACTAGCTTCGTGGATGGCCAAGATTTCCACATGGTTGGATGAGGTAGCGGCAATAGTCTGCTTCATGGATCTCCAAGATATGGCTGTTCCTCCATGCGTGAAAACATAACCGGTTTGAGACCGGGCACAGTGCGGATCTGACAAATATCCTGCATCAGCAAAACCAACTAGACCATCCTTGTTATGGTTAGAATAAAATAATCCCAAGTCCTTAGTACCTTGAAGGTATCTAAGGATGTGCTTAATACCGTTCCAGTGCCTTTGAGTTGGACACGAACTAAAGCGAGCTAAGAGGCTCACGGCAAAGCAGATGTCTGGTCTAGTGTGACTAGCCAAGTACATTAATGCTCCTATGGCACTGAGGTATGGCATTTCAGGACCGAGAATTTCTTCATCGTCCTTCTTTGGACCGAATGGATCACTATCCAATCCAAGGCTCCTCACAACCATTGGGCTGGTCAATGGGTGGGCCTGGTCCATATTGAATCTCTTGAGTACCTTTTCAGTGTATGCCAATTAATGCACAAGGATTCCGTCATTGACGTACTCAAGTTGTAATCCCAAACAGAATTTAGTTTTGCCTAGGTCTTTCATTTCAAACTCTGCTTTTAAGCATTCAACTGTTTGGGCGATTTCACCAGATGTTCTGAGGATGTTCAAGTCATCCACGTATACTGCTATGATTACAAATCTTTTGTTTTGATATTTTCTGATGAAGATGCATGGACTGATCGGATCGTTTTCGTAGCCTTCTCTGATGAGATATTCGCTTAACCGGTTATACCACATACGTCCGCTTTGTTTCAGTCCATATAAGGATTTGTTCAGCCTAATGCAGTGTTTATCACGAGATGCATGCTTATCTTTGAGCTCAATACCATCTGGTAATCTCATATAGATTTCACTGTCCAGTGGTCCATAAAGATATGCGGTTACAACATCCATTAACCGCAAATCTAAGTTTTCTCTTATGGCCAGACTTATGAGGAATCGAAATGTAGTTGCATCCACCACTGGAGAATAAGTCTCCTCATAATCGATTCCGGGTCTCTGTGAGAATCCTTGTGCTACAAGGCGTGCCTTGTATCTAACGACTTCGCCGAGTTCGTTTCTTTTACGCACAAAGACCCATTTGTTTCCCACTGGTTTAACATCGAATGGTGTCCTTAAGATCGGACCAAACACATTCCGTTTCTTTAAACTATTCAACTCCACGTTTATGGCTTCTTTCCATTTCAGCCAATCTGATCTACGAGTGCACTCAATTATAGACGTGGGTTCTAGATCCTCTTGCGTGTGCGCAATCTGAAGTGCTACCTTGTATGCAAAAGTTTCATTGATGTCGACATCTTTTCTGTTCCATAGAGAACCAAATATGATATAATTGATTGAGATCTCATTATTATCAATCCCTTCAGAACCTTGAGTTTTGGCGTCCCAAACCTCTTGAGATGGTTCGATAGGGTAAGTATCAGCTGAGGCTGTATCCGTGTTCTCTTGAATTCCGGTTTCAATCATTGCACCTTTCTTTGATTTCCGGGGATTCTTATCTTTGGAACCTGGTGGTCTGCCACGTTTCTTACGTGCGTCAGACTCTATAGCAACTTGACTTTTCCCTGAGGGGACATCTATTCGTACTGGTGCATTACAAGCTGGTATGTACGATTTGGTAACTTTGTTCGGGTCAGCAAAGGAATCTGGCAATTGATTAGCTAGCTTTTGTAAATGTATAATTCTTTGGACCTCTGAATCACATTCTAGAGTCCGAGGATCTTGCCATTGTGTGGATGTTTGATTCCATGAAAGTTCTTTTACCAGCTTGTCTGTCTCACCACCTAATCTAGGATATACCGATTCATCAAATCGGCAATCTGCATATCTGGCTTTAAACAGATCTCCTGTAGTTGGCTCGAGATATTTTATGATGGTGGGAGAATCAAAACCAACATATATTCCCATCCTCCTTTGAGGTCCCATTTTAGTCCTCTGTGGTGGTGCAATGGGTACATAGACTGAACACCCAAATGTTTTAATATGGGAGACGTCTGGCTCATGACCCGTTAGCAATTGGGATGGTGAATATTTATGCTCACTAGATGGTCGTATGCGTATTAGTTCAGCGGCATGTAAGACTGCGTGTCCCCAAGCTGAGACCGGGAGTTGTGACCTCATGAGTAATGGTCTAGCAACCCATTGAATTCGTTTAATGAAGGATTCAGCTAATCCATTTTGTGTATGGACATGTGGAACGGGATGTTCAACACTTACCCCCATGGACATACAATATTCATTAAACGCTTGGGAAGTGAATTCACCAGCATTATCTAGACGTATAGTCTTTAATGGGAAGTCTGGAAAATGGGCTCGTAATCTGATGATTTGGGCCAATAACCTAGCAAAAGCTTGGTTCCTAGAAGAGAGCAGACAGACATGCGACCAGCGGGTCGATGCGTCAATGAGGACCATGAAATATCTGAATGTCCCACAAGGTGGGTGAATTGGTCCACATATGTCTCCTTGGATTCTTTCCAGAAAGTTCAAGCTCTCTTTAGACACTT